ATTATAATGAAATTCTCATCAAGCAGTAGCATATGATTTGCAAAAATTTAGGCAATGGAATTACTCAAAAATCTCTTCATCATTCATTTCTAACATCAGTTTGACAGGTATTAAAATTTATTTTTCAATTATTGATCGTTTTTAGGCTTTTATAACAACACCTAAAAAATGTTTCAAATCTTATTTGAAATCTAAACTGACAAAAGTTTGTATTCAGCTATTATATCAATGAATATTAACTAATGTTTGATAAGGATTTGTAATTTACGGTAATTGCACTTACTCTTGATTGGATTGTCATGCATGGTTGTAATACTGACGTCGACCGACCCCCATACACTGTTAGTTGTCTTCAAAATACTTTCTTTTTGGGCAGTTGTGAGGGCATCGTAAAGTTTAGTTTAGCGTTTCCTTTTGTCAAATAATCAGACTGTACACGTACCGTTTCTTTTCATCAGGCCCCGTGGGGATCCGGGTTAGAATAGGTCCTCAGTACCCCCTTGCTTGTCGTAAAAGGCGACTAAATGGGGTGGTCCTTCGGATGAGACCGTATAAACCAAGGCCCCGTATCACAGCAGGTGTGGCACGATAAAGATCCCTGCCTGCTCAAAGGCCGTAAGTGCCGAGCATAGGCCTAAATTTGCAGCCCTTCACCGGCAATGGTGACGTCTCCATATCAGTAAAATATTCTGGAGAGGGGCGTTAAACAGTATACAATCAATCAATCTTTTCATCAGGGATTTTTTGGGGGAAAAAAATTAAAAATATAAGATTATTTTGGTAAAAGAATTCTTTATAATCGTTACACCCAGAAAAGAAGGCACTTAATTTAAACGTTAATGATTTTTTGAAATATACTATATGAGTAAGTAATATAATTATTTATGCAATTTGAGTAATTAATATAATTATTAACCTACAGCTGCTAGAGATTCTGGCCAAAACAATTTTCACGTTTTTTGAGAAGCACGTGTCTTTTTGATGAGAGCGAAATGACCATTATCCTTCGGCGACTGGATGTTCCTTGTATTTTAAATTTGAAAGATGTTAATGGGTTTTTAAGGAGACCGACTTAGGTTTTATTGTGTGAAAACTACAAAAGCAAAACTCTTCATTTTCATAGCATATATACCTTGCATTAATTTCAGTGTACATGCAAAGTTTGGGAGAAATCTACCGTCCAGGTATTTTTGAGGCACCGTCTCAAAATACAGGTACATTTACATGTACTATAGGATTATATAGGAAAATGCCAATTTTTAGCACTTTAAAGCAAATTATACAAATACTACAATAGACTTTTTATTCAAACTATAATATTTGATGAGTAATACTATACTATACAATATATGTAAGAAACACAAATTTCTAAAGTCTTGTTACCAGATGGGGCATCTCAAAATGCAAAAAATAAACGAATTTTACTGTTTTTATAGAGAACTATAAAATATGACGGGTACAAAGGATTCATATGAAAACATAAGAAAATAATGGAGATATTCTAAAATTTCTATGTTTTAAATTTCAAGAGCGTATGTTTATTACTTTTTCTTTAATAACATTTTAATTACCCCTTTCTTTAAGAGCTTCAGATTATCATAACGTCAAAAACACACTGTAGCGACCGTCAACCTACCTATCAATTGCAAAAATCGGTTAAAAAAATCAGTTATATCAAATTGTAATTACATTTTTATACCTATTTTTACTTAATTTTGTTTAATTTTAATAATTAAGCGAAAAAAGTTGCATTAAAACAGTAAATACGCTTCATTTTACTATGATGCGCGAGATATTGCGCAATGGAAACTTCAGTCGGCCCCCTTAACGATCTACTTTTCCGTTGAACCTAAAATTTATTAAAATGATATTTCTTTCTATTTGGCTTTTTTTAACCGTGACGCGGCTCCAAACCATTTGCGCAAATAAAAATACACACATGTCTTCTTGATCAGTGTCCCTCAGAAAAAGAAAACAAATAATTTAACAAATTGTAATGTACTGCCTCGTACAGATATGAGGAATAATGATCTTGATAAGGGGGAAAATAATGTCGATGTACTTGATTCGCTGTCATTACTTCTCTTGATACATGTAAATCATAAAAAATATATGATAATACCTACTTTACTGTTTCTCGATGAACAAATGGACATATGCAGGTAAAACATAAGTTTGATTTGTTTTGAACATATTTAATTGACAATGTGTCAAAGGGATTGGTTCCAAAAACTTAGATAGTCCTATCCCATAAATTTTAAGGATTTAAGTTTTGCAAAAATTACATCTCTACACATATCAAATTATTGTAAATGCACTTTTTTATCACCAGTTGATGACTGTAAACAATTTCACATTGTTTACCAGTAGACTGTCTTGGACTGGTGTATATATAAAATATCCTTGTGTAGGGTTAGGGTTAGATAAATATAAAACATATGTTTAATCTCATGTTTTCGTGGGGTCAACGTTTCGAGGTGTGAGGAAATAATATGGGTTTGTGTGGATTTAATTTCATGGATGAAGAATTGTTAAGATATGTAAATGACGTATAGTTTTAACTGTATATGTCCATTTATTCATCGAGAAACAATAAAGAATGTATTATCATATAATTTTATATTTTATCTCTTGTCAGCATGTACAATTTATAATGAGACAAATTCTGACTGACGTTTTTCATACGTATTGTAAGTCCATTATCCATACCTAAATTGACGAAGGATTTTTTCCGTTATTACCCGATCATGACAAGGAGCACACGGCCGCTGTGACCGGTCAGCAGGGGATGCTCACTCCTCCATGACGCCTGATCCCACCTCCGATGTTTTAGAGGTCCGTGTTTGCTCTGCTCCTATTTTGTATTGTTTTATGGATTTTGATTTTGAATACTGTTCGTTATCTTCATATCCTTCATAGTTAACCTAAATTCGTGGATATCTTCATACTTCGAAAACAACGAAATTTAACTCCTACCCCCACTCCATATGAAAATTAGTGATTTCAAAGTATTCCAATTCTTTGCTTTATTTTATTTCGTGTTGTGGGATGCATTGAAATAAACTATGCCTGAACATTTATTTTTTTTAAACTGCCCATTAAAACGAAGATCACAGGAATATTTCGAATTTTCGCTTCTTAAAAAATATGTTGCACTAACATGACTTAACTGATGTAATTAACAGACACTGAAGTTCTAACAAATTGCTAGAAGACCTTTTCTCAATTTCCCGATATTTTTATATGTCTAGATCTGACATATACTTATAGCTAACTGTATGTATATTCATTATATGTCCTACTTTAGCAGTTAACAATGAGAAGAGATTTGTTTTTGTTTTCTTCCACTCATTAATTTGTAAAATTTAAATTCATTAACTCAAGGAAGGCAATTATTTTGTAGAAACTTATTGGGTATTGTGTAAATTACATTATTGTGCATATTTATTGATTCTTTTGTGCATTTTTAAAATATTCCTCCACCCATTATATTGAAAATGAACCATATTTCAAAAATGAGGAAAAAGCTTTCCCACATTATAAGTTTTATACAAAATATTAATTCCGTTGCTAAGGAAATAGCAAATCATTTGCTAAGGCAATTTTATCATTAAACTATGACATTCAGTATATACGAGGGGTGATCAAAAAATTCGGGAACTATCTCTATATTTTAAAAACCACGATTCAGATCAGAATGAAATTTGACACATCTGTAGTCATGTACATCATCTATAAATAGCATATGAAATGTATTGATTTTCTTCATCATTGTGACGTCACAATGTAAAAATGACGTCAATATGTAGGTTACTCGTGACGAAAAATGGTTGTCTCAGTCTTACTCGATCAACAAACGGCTATAAAGTTTAAAGTATAACTTAATAATTCCTTTAAAGTATCTCATAATAATTTGTGCAAGGTTTAAGAAGAAAATATGCTTTCCAGAGGTTTTATCATAAATTGAATTGATTGTTTTAGTTAAGGGAGAGAGATGGTTAAAAATGACCTTTGTGTTGTACCGCCAGTGAAAGCAAACTGGGGAAGAGATGTGTCCTTTGTTAGGGAATTTGTCATGAAAGATTGCGAAGTCACAGTACGAAAAATGGTTGAATATCTTAACAATATTATTATTATTAAATCCCTAAAATACCTTTTGATTTTGACTTTTAGCTTATTAAATATGATAAAAAAAACAATGCCCCGTACGACTAAATCCATATTTGATAAACGACGTTCCTACGACAGAGATCTTAGGTTGTGATGGCCACCATCTTCTTTCTGGGAAAGGATATCCTTATCCAACCATCGTATCTCCTAGATTTGGACTTTTCTGACAAATGAATCGTTCTTTTTATAAAAAATCAACTTGCATGGTAAGAAATATAAGACTTGGAAAAATATTTTAGCGTCTATGAACGAAATGCCTCAGGGCATGTCACGTGACCCCCTGGATCACGTAATTCGCGCATGTGTAGAACGATGGCATATAAGCATTATAATCAGAGAGGGCTACTTTGCAAAAAACGAACACTGAAACCAATTTTTTTTTTGTTTTATCGAAGTTATACAATTTGTTCGCAAACTTTTTGATCACCCCTCGTATAGTTACTTGCAAATCTTTATAAACGAAATTGGCAAAAACAACCTTATTTAAACAAATCTGACAAAAACGTTGACTTTTTCATACGGTAAACATAGCCATAAAAAAGAGCAAGTTGGAAATTTTTGCCTAATTTGTATAAAATACAAACTTTTTTTAATGTTTCGGGAAAAATCCCTCTCGCAAATATATTTTATTTAAATTGTTTAATATTCATGCTCGTTTAAGGAAAATGATATATAACATCACTACCTAATTTTGACACCTTTGCTTTCTTAAACAGATATAGAACATAGTTCTGTCCCAATGAACCACATTTTACATCCCTCAACTGTTAAGATGTTTAATTGTACCAAAAAACCTTTGATAAAATCAATTATTATTTTTTTATTATCCATTTTATTTGAGAATGAAAGTGAACATTATTATTTATCTGTGTTAACTGCTTCTTCTTGGAAAAGAAAAGAAAATCTGAAAAATAGAAAAGTAACCTCATAACAGTAAAAAAAATCACATAACCATAATCAAAGTATATGAACAATATTTGATAAAGTAATACATGCATTTATTGAAGATTCTACAAACCTCTCAGTTTAAATTTCTGTTACCCGGATGTTATCTACAGCAACTGCCCCAGATCCACTACTGCCACCGACGAGGCCAGTGAAGTAAAACTATGAAATTTACATACAAAATGGCATCTCATTTCTTTGCTGGACTTTTGCAGCTCTTTCTTAGAATGAATACGACATGTAGTAGTTTGTGGATATAACTTAAGACTTAATGCCTTTTAATTTTGATTTTTAAATGAGACATACAGGAAACCAAGCAATTATGTGAATTATTTAATAGTGAATTTTGGATAAGGCTTAAAAATGAAAGATTAACATAACCTTATCTTTAAATAATTTCAATAATTCATTTTCAAGACGTATACAATAAGCGTTAGTAAACGTCTTTGAATGATTACAATACCATATAGCGGGGTGTTTTTTTTTTTTTTTTGCAGGGTGCTAATTTTGGCGTTTTGATGGTAGCCGGCTAAAATTTTAATCACTAAAATAGTCAGTACTCCTTTTAGTGTTTATTTGCAAAGAGCAGAAAATCTGTGTCCGCTATAATAAATTACGCCAAAATTATTGGCATACCTTTGAGCAGGGAAATCGCCAAATTTTACACCCGCCAAGAAAACCCGCTATACGGTAGGAGGATTGTGAGTTAGAGGTTCGGAATGTCTCCGCTATTGTTTTCAATAACGTGCACATTTAAATTCAGAAGGACTATTTCTTGTCAACACTTACGAATGTACTTTCCCCAGCTGGAATCGTGACGCTGGCAGACTTCCATATTCCATTATCCCCGGAGGTTGAGAAGAGTGTATAATATTGTGGATTTACTCCCTGTGCATAAGAAAAATATAACTCTCCATTTCCAGTAGACGTGTAATCAAATTCAACACGCACTGAAGCCACTGAAAATATACAAAGAAATTGTGCAATGATTTATCAAGTTGTCGAATAAAAATATAGTTTGATCTTTATGAACGAATGAAATAAGATTTATTTGTTATAAAGTTGTGGCGAATTTTGTTCAATTTTTGGCTTGAAAGAAATCTATAGAATAAGGATTTCTCAGTCATTGACGCAAACAGAGAGAAGCAATGTCTTCCAATACATAAATGTTCCATAATACCCTGCTATGCAGAGTGTTTGAATGTTGTTGCATAGTAGATGGACTAGTTTGTGACGCAATAAAGTAAATTATACATAACCCACCTGGTAAGTAATGTTCTGGTAATAACCAAGCAGTATCCTGCGATTGAAAGTTACTTGTTGCCAGTGTATAATAATTTCCTTCCGGGGCGCTGCTGATTCCAGGGAATGCCTAAAATAAAAAAAAATGTAAACGTGACCATGTACAACTAATTCCAAAACATGATTCTTCTCGCACATCTTTAAATTAAAATTCACATCAGCGTTAAAACACCTTTGCTTTTTGACAAACCTTTTCAAAGTTTGAATGGAAGGCAGAGAAGGCAACAAAATACGGGGTTAGGAAATATTTTTTAAAAATATATTTTTGAAATTTTTCTGCAAAAGAAACTTCACTTCTTCCCACTTAAGGTATCAAAATACCAGTTTATAGACCCCTATTAATTAAATAGATATACTTGAATGGCCTCTTTGGTGTCAATTTTCATACTATTTTCTTTTTCCTGATTTCTGGTTGTACATTGTATATCCTATAGTTATGATTACTTGACAATTTTGATTTAGAAGGTACCAGTATATAATATTATACTTTCATGTAAATTACTTGAATCTGATTCGTCGAGAAACATTTGTTAAAAAACACTATTACCCGCTGAATAATGAAGCCACGCCCTCCTGCGTAGCAACAGTCAACATTGCTTGACGACGGGTGATATTCCAAAAAATAGCGACTGTGCAGAATTTATGCGCGCATAAAACATTCAGTATAATATATTAAATATTGCATGTAGTTTAGTGTAGCATTGAAAATTTTCAATGTTACACTCAACTACATGCAATATTTATATATTAACACATTCTCAGAAAAGTGCTAATCAGTAAGACAGGGAAGATGAAAAACAGGGAAAAAGTTAAATTTTAAGACTTGAAAACCCTATCAAAGGTTTGTTTTTATTTATGATATACAAAATCTACTCACTTGAGTCCTATAGAAATTAATAGTATTAAATTGATGATTTTGTAGACACATTCCTGTTTCAAAGCCACATTGGAAAATCCCATTTCCTGTATCTAGAAAAGATCAGGAATATTTGAAAGTAATTAATAACTTCTAAGTAAAATAATACCCGTGGAATCGGGTTATAACCTGCATGAATTGCATGAATTTCATGCTACCAGTAATTTTACACAAATTGATAAAGAATTACCCGGTGTTTGACAAAGAGATCCAGTCCAGCCAGAGGTGCACGTGCAAACTGCTGATCCAGAATTAGAGGAACAGGTTCCGCCATTTAAGCATGGATTTGGGGCGCATGGATTAGAATTTACTTGGAAAAAAGTAAAAAGCAATCAATTTATTGGTATTTTAAAATGTATATTAATCGAAAATATTTATATATGTGAATCATTCTATTTCTGTTTATTGGAAGACTTTTCTTTTATGTCAGAAAAGGCTCATTAAAAATTTTCCACTAAGTTTGTTCATTGTCATTTAAAATCCTTTGCAACCGTCTTCACACAAACAGGAAACGTAACGAAAATTTCAAATTTTTTATACTTGTATCTGTTTATGATATCATGATATTATCTTGAAAATGATCAGAAAAAAAGTATTTTGTAGCAATTACTAGTAATAATTGTCTTTCCAAGGAAAACATAATCCACCATAAGAAGACATTACTATCATTTAAAAGCTTTTTGTAATTATCTGTTGACAGGTTCGAAGGAGAGAACCATGCTGACATTTTATTTTATTACCCTGTGTTTCACAGAACGACCCTGTCCAACCTGAAGCACAACTACATTGAGCATTTCCGGAAGTTTGGGAACATGTTCCTCCATTTTGGCAAGGATTTGGGCTACAAGGGTTACTAGTAACTAGTCAGAAAATAAAGAAATCTTTAAAGTCCTTTTTAACTTTTAAAATGCAATATTACACAAGCTAAATATAATTTTTCGCTTGCATTTTACAAGTATATTATGTTTTTGGATTTTCATTTTTAGGTATTTATTTTAGAGTTCAAAAAAACAAAACAAATTTATTTATGGTTTTGTCTTAAAAATGATCAGAGAGAGAAAATACTATTTTGTAGCAACTAATAGGCTTTCCAAGTGATAAACATAATTCGCTTCAAAAAAGAAATAACAATATTTTTTTTTTTATATTTTGGTAAGTTCTACCTGCTGAAGGATTTTCAAAGGAGAAAACCATATTTTATTTTGATTGACATAATGATACGTAAAACAACATACAATAAATCAATCGTATATTATATTACCTTGTGTTTCACAGAAAGACCCCGTCCAACCTGAAGCACAACTACATTGAGCATTTCCAGAATTTTGAGAACATGTTCCTCCATTTTGGCATGGATTTGGGTTACAAGGGTTACTAGTGGCTTGTCAAAAATAAAGATATCTTGTAAGTACTTTTACACACTTCAAATTAAATATTTCTTTATTTCACATTCTCCGCTTGCCTCATTCAAGTGCATTAAGTTCTAGATTTATATTTTCGGACCATATACATATCCATGATATCAGAAATATGGATTAATCGCTTAAAAAATATACACATTCTTTTGTTTGAAATAGAGCCTGTATATTTTTTTCATAATTTACATTTAAAATAAAATATGATAGATACATATTTATCTTATCTCTTAGACTAGATTCATACTTACATGATTTACTACAAAGCTGGTTGTTACATGTATATCCTGAAGGACACTGGGAACAAGTAGCACCGGACGTGTAAGGTCTTTGGTTGTTAAAGTTCCCACTAGAATCAAATGAGAAATCTATAGTTTAGTCTGCTGTTTATTTTAGTTTTTTTGTACTTACTGTTTGATTTACATAATGCACATACATGTGACCATGTCTTTTCTTTGCCACAATTTTCTATTTTTGTACTGGCAATATTTATGATAATCCTTTTTTTTCCAGCGAGAGTAGCAGGTTAAAATATTCATAATGAAATACATGGAGATAACGAACAGAATTTATGCTTAAAAAAACCATAAAACAATATAAAATAGGAGCAAAACAAACACGGATCTCTAAACCATCAGAGGTGGGATCAGGTGCCATGGAGGAGTAAGCATCCCACGCCGACCGGTCACACTCACCGTGTGCTTTTTGTCATGATCGGGAAATAACGGAAAAATCCGTAATCAACTCAGTGTGTAAACATTGTTAATGAAATAACAATTGGAATGAAAAAAAATTAAAAAATGCAATTTTCAAGTTATTCAATATTTGTTTGAAACATTTTTAAAAATAATTTTATTTAAACCCCAAAGCATCTTAAATATATATCTCACCCAGGTCCATAGTTACAAACAATCAAGTAAGAATTTCCACATTGCTGTCGTGCACAGCCTAGGTATTCAGAGTCGGTCCATACAACCTATTAAAAAGCATACGTTAAAAACATTAAACTTGAGACCAGAAAAAAAACTATCATATTCTTCATCTTTCTGGACTATCTTCCTGAGACCACATTTGAATGAATTAATGCTTAAAAATATAACTAGTACCCTAGCAGCAAGTGTAATGTTGTTCCCACTTCGAATTGAAAATGCAAAAACATCTTTTAAAATAATTATTGAAGCATAACACAATGCAAATTTCATCTGTGATTTATCCAAGTAAACTAACATAACAAAAATCAGCTCAATATCCTACAAAAATACAGAAAGCCCATGAAAACTAGAGGTACTGTGAGCAATGAGCTCACTAAATGATACCCCCCGCCTCCCATATGAATATATTGGCAGTATCCATGTTTTGCTCTGGAAAATCCAAAATATATGTCAGATCAAAAAGTAAAATAGGAGGTGCACAATGGCAATATGTAATAAAGATTCTGTGAAAGTTTCATTAAATTTCCTTCAGTGGTATGAGAGGAGTTGCGGATAAGAGATGGGTACCCCAAAGCGTAACAGACGGACGGACGGACAGACGGAAGGACGGACGGACAGACGGACGGACGGACGTACAGACGGACGGAAATACCGATTACTATATACCCTCCCGCTTTTCAAGCGGGGGGTATAATTAAAGCAATATTCATGAGCTGCATGTTTGACATCGGAAAAAAATATTTCAAATTTGTAATTAACCATTTCAATGACAGGAAAATAGAACGTTTATTAACTTCTGTTGGTCATATTGCTTTGGAACTTTTTATAAGCTTTGATTGAAGCAAAATTGAATTATTGTCGTCCTGTACAATAATGATTTCTTATATAATACTGTATATTCGGTTGTACAGAAATATTTCTTCTGAAACATTTTAAAACTTTATTTTGGTCTTATTGATCATAAGGGTTTAGATTACATACAGATTAATCATAATAACACATTTTACCAGCAAAATAAAATTCTCAAAAATGCAGCTCATATTGCTTTAAAGAGGGCGTTATCAACTCAATATCTGCATGGATTTAGAAAAAAGTGAGAAAAACCAAGTTATACAGACTGACTGACAGACAGAAAGAAAGCTAGACGCACAGATAGACGAGATGGAAACATATAGTCCATTCAAGTTCACAGGTAGGGGTCTAATAATAGTTTGTGATGACAAGGTCGCATTATTAGGATATTACACAAAACAAACTAGAGGTACTGTGAGCAATGAGCTCACTAAATGATACCCCCCGCCTCCCATAATGTCGATGTGTTGCTTTATATTGTTTTACGGTAATGTGTAAAGAGGAATAACTCGTCCCGTCAAATGTTATCCAGAAGCTTCTATTATGTGACGTCATAGGTAAACAAAAAATGGCAATGTCCATGTTTTGCTCTGGAAAACCTAAAATACGTGTCGAATAAAAAAGTAAAATAGGAGGTGCACAATGGCAATATGTAATGAAGATTCTGTGAAAGTTTCATTCAATTTCACTCAGTAGTATAAGAGGAGTTGCGGATAAGAGAAAAAGCGTAACAGACGGACGGACGGACGTACAGACGGACGGACGGACAGACGGACGGACGGACGGAAATCCCGATCACTATATACCCTCCCGCTTTTCAAGCGGGGGGTATAAAAATTAGCTGGATCGGATTTTTCTATGTATCGTACCTGTGTGTAATGTCCACATGTACGTGTACAGGTGTTCGACGATAAATCGTAATAAGACTTTTCTTCATCCCATGACCTAACGGCATCCGTTGCGGTACCTAAGGTATAAAATTTAGAATTGATAATTATCAAAAAACATACTTTATAATATGAAATAGAATAGGATAAAGAAGTATCTAAAAATATTTTATTTTATTTGTAATTTACATATACAAACCAAAGGTCCCCATGTATATATTTTCTCCAACATAAGAAAACGTTTGTGACTGGCTTGAACGTTGTGAATTATGACTGAATGAACATTGTTGAGCATAATTACGAGCGATGGTGTACAGTTCATCACTCCAAATCTGTTTTAAAAAGTAAATTACATGAACGACTTCTTGAAAATATTCATAACTATGTTAGTTCGCTAGCGGAAATTAAGGTTCATAAACCCTCTGCTCACACATATAAAATTTTTCTTGAGCTTTTATGATTTTACAAAGGAAATGTATATGCTGAATAAAATACAAACATTTATGGCATGGTTTGCGGGGCAAAATTTGATAAAAAAGGCACTTCAACTTGACCAATTTATAAGGGAATAATAGACATTTGTGTCATTAAGAGTTATCTGTCTTATCAGAGTATCAATGTACCTTAAATATTTTATTTTGTAAGTACCAAAAAAGGTTAAGCTAGCGCCCTGCGATCGATCTCATATATACATGTATATACAAATCAAACCATTCGAATCTAGGAGGCGTAAACACTGACCTCGAGAGGTGGAATCAGGGACCTAGGAGGAGTAAGTATCCTCCAATGATTCATTACACCCGTAATAAGCCCTATGCCTTAATCATATATACCTCTGTGAATTTGTTCAATATAAAAACATGACGAATAAACATGCTATCTTTTCCAAACAGCCCCTACTGTGAAATAGTTTTTGTGCTATCTGCCCATGGTGAAATAGTCATCAAACTATTCACCGGCAGCATTCTGCTTCCCTCGCTTTTCATCTCGGAAAACTTCTGGTTTTATACGGATTGTGACGCGTATGTATTATGACGTAATAAAAGTTAAGTCAGCATCGGTATAATATGGAATATCATAATTGTGTGTACCTTGGACTCCCAAAAGTTAACAAAAGTTAAGTCAGCATCGGTATAATAAAACACCTATTTACTGACTATTCGGACAATAGCAAGTTTATCGTCCCCCTCGACAGCAAGCTATTTCCCTCGGCTGCGCCTCGGGAAATAGTTTGCTGTCTTGGGGAACGATAAACTTGCTATTGTCCTCATAACCAGTAAATAGGTGTATAATATATAATATAAACACAAGGCATAACAAATGATATTAAACTCAGCAGCTTAAGAATAGATAACACAACATTTTTAATTCGAAAATTCAAATAACTATACTTAAATGTGTGTCTCACTTTATAAGTGATATTTGTTTAGTTTAACAGCATAATGATTGGCCAAGCCACATAATTTGGTGAAAAGTGCGAAAATGTAACGTTATAGCTTAATCAGTTAATGCATTTTTCAAAAAGTTTTAGAAATGTATAAAGTTTTCTTACTGCAAAGTTTCTGGGGACATTTTCAAGAGTGTATTTAAACATATAACACAATTAAAATTTTTAAATTACACTTCCACTGAAAGAAATATTTAAAAAAAAATACCATTGTAACTCTTCTTTGTAGGAGATTAGAAAATTTGTATGTGGTATGTACATGTACATGGTGGTGGTTTATGCTTGCTTACTATGTCATTATGTCATTTTGAGGATGATCATGTTTATGTATTGCTGGTTTTTAAACTAATCAAAACATTTCTATAGTTTGTGAACTAACTCGGATATATTGCATCATATAAAAATTAGGATGAATTAATCTGACAATATATAAAAATTCAAATTTATCGAATTGAAAATAACTAACAAATTAACCAAGATTAACAACACATTAAAAACATTGTTTATTATAAGTTTGCATGCTTTTTTTCCATACAAGATCTGATTATCTATCAGTGAGCAATGCTCTCTGTGTGAACGGCTTACCATCTCTTTCATATTAGAAGCGGAGGGGTTGACGTTACGCCTTCTTTCGTTGTGTGCATTCAAAAATTCTTGATTTTCGTTTGTTTGTCTTTTTTTCAAAATTCTTCCAGCTGGGGCCTGTTTGAAAAAAAAGGATATGTCCAATTATCTGTAATAGCCTGTTTGCGTATTAGCATACACTTCTGTTCAAATGATAAATAATCATCACGTACAGTCTGATTAAATCAGGCCTGTATGACCTATCTGTTGTCGTCCATCGTCGTGTATCGTCCGTTCATATTCTAATATGTTACCATTCTTTGGAACCGATGGAGTAATTTTAACTTATTTACTTTAATGTCAAAGAGTAAATTATAATCATTTTTGTAAATTTTATGGTTCTTGTCTGGAGTAGGGGTAAATCCATAAAAATTGAGGAATTTGTATTATTTGTTTACTTCTTGACAACAAACAATTTAGAATTGGGATGGATAAAATAATACCCACCTTTATTGATAGCAGGCAGCAATGTATCACATTTATTTTCATGTATATTTAGAATTTTTTATTTTTAGTAGGGGGTCAACTAAGATACATGTACATGTATACTATACATGCCAATGTTTTTTCCATGTTTTGTTTTCTTAATTAGTCCACTGGGTGATCCCCCTTTTTCTATGTATAAAATTTACAATGACATTATGGTGCTTGGGGTCAGATTGTGTAATATTGTGATAAAGATATGTAATATTTTATATTTAAGTCCCCTTTTCTGACCCCCTTTCTTGTATTGTAAATATGTTTTTACTAATTTTACGTCATTTACTTCAATGAATGACATTTTTTCACTTCAATAATGTTGTTTGTTTTTGCCTGCTTTAACCAAAAAACAAGCTCAGTTGTCTGGCAGGAGAACTAAGGAACATAAATAAGCATTAAGTACTATACATGACCCTTTGGTCATGGGTTCTATAGTTATTATGCAGCTCCATTGATCATATCTTGAAAATGCATTAATTCATCTTGTCGATCTCCTCTATATTAAAGTTTTTATACTCAGAAGACATCTAACGTGTATACCTTAACAAAATGTACAATAATTCACCATAATTTACAATAGTCATATAAAGTATAAAAGATTTGACTATTAGTGAAAAAACGTTTTTAGAATAATTGCCGTAATCCAAAGTATTTTATACTATGAATTTTGAATTGTTATATTTAAAGAAGATTGGCATCAATGCGTGCAGAATGCCTATAGCTGTAGATTTTAAAAAAATAATAACTTCTGTTTGTGAACGATCTTGTAATATAAAGTAAAGTTATAATTACTAAAATTTATGAGAAAAAAACGTTATTAAAAAAAAGGAAAATAACAATTATTATTTTATTAAAAATAACGTGGTATTCATGGGGTTCTAACCCTAGCAATAAACCTAATTATATTTTTTTTAAATTTGGGTAAGCATATGCATTTTGCAAACTTTTGTATACAATTAATTAGACTACATGTGCTACATGGAGGATCTTTCACACAAAAAGAAAAGCATACGCTCTTCTATGTAAGGCTCTGAGTTATCACGTGATTAGAACAGTATATTATCATCATAGAGAGAAGGAAAAAGAAAATTAGACGTTAACCTCGCTACTGAAATAAGATGGTCAAATTTGACCCAGCTAATAACAGCACTTATGAAATGGTTGTACAGAATCTGTGCAAAGTTGATTGATATTCAAGTTCAATAAAATACAAGAAGAATCCACTGATAAATATGGAATTAAAAAAAATTTGCAGTGTATTAAACATGAAAAGCATATAGAATATTTCTAGAAATAACTTACAAGAGGTCCCTTTTGGCCCCAAGCTCTAACAAGACAAATCAGGAACCCAATGGAAATCAACAAGATTGGCTTTGACATGGTCATTGTTGTACAGTTATTACAAGTTTGACTTGTTCTGTACCTTTATAGAAGACATGGACACGTATCGATGATCAAAGGTACATGTATAAGTACATCCGTCAGTAGTTAATCCTGATATTCGTCATAAAACTCATTTAAGTAAAAACAGATGGCTGTAGATATTGTTTTTGTGTGATAATTCGTGTTTATTTGAATTTAAAGTGCATATGAGATCCTGTTTACAAATCTCAACCTAATTCACAAAATTATTATTTAGGAATTGTACTATCATCATTAAAATTGCCTACTTCTCACTTGTGACTATATAGTTTAAATGAGATTTCTGAATTGAAAGAAAAGTCATTTTTTAACATAATTGATATTAAAACTTCAATACTATAGGTCAATTCATTAGTTTTTAGTTTGTTCAAGATCTTTACAAGACAATATACAATATGTATCAAAAAATTATCTTTTATTGACAATAGATAAAACTAAGTACAATTGTTAGAATTAAAAAAAATCTTATGTATATCAACATGCTTTTTGACATCTGCGTGAACACTTGCAAATTGTCTGTTTATGAAAATATGAAGCACTTTTATCCTAATATTTTTATATATACCTTTAAATGAAAACATAAACCTGTTAAAAGGACGTGTAACCTGTATTGTATTTTCTTTTATTTCCATGTTTTCATTCTATTTTGATAAAATTAATCACAGAGAATATATCAAGATTTATCTCCTAACCCCTCTGAGATTTAGTAAATGTCGTTGAAAAATGAATTAAGTATATTTTTTCAAATTAAAATTGTTATACCAGGAAGATTTGATTTAAACATTTTCAGCATATTAAAACATATCTAAATTTATAGCTGAAATTTTGTTTAAGAAGTGTATTTTAAAAAATCCTCAAATTCACCTAAACATGTAATTAAACTTATTTATTGGTTTTTGATTATTTTTTACGTTAATGACGATTTATCTTTTCATTTTTAACAAATCAATGTCGAATTAAGCGGCAAATTTATATTACTTTTACAGAAATCAGTCAAAATATACACCATCGTGAATCTTCTATCTCTAAACCTTTAGGCAGTGACATACTTTTTTCTTAATTCATTTTTTATATCTGATAAAAAGAACATATCTACATCTTTCAATTCTTCTGCATTACAAGCGGTGTCACAGAATGTAAGGTACATTAATAATGAGCTTTAGAAAAAAAATAATTACAATTGCTTCGCGATTTGAACTTTAAATAAGGTTTGTAAACATGATTTACAAGTACATATGTTTCAACCATTGATACAATGTCTATTACTGATAACGTGTTTCATTTGAGTAAATAGAATTGTATTCGTAAATGATAAAATTTATGATAAATATTTGCATTTTCTCTATTTCCCTACCAAAGGCTTGCATTTATCAGTATTAACGTAATTCTCTCACTGATGTACAGTTTTGGGTCAAACTCGTGCACTGATAAATCTGTTTCACAGCAATGTTTGTTTGTTTAACGTCCCTCTCGAGAATTTTGCACTCACATAGAGGCGCCTTCAGTTATATACAGTGTATAGTTGTTTTTTTTTTAATATTTGTAGCATTTTATGTTTAGATTGAAATAAAAATCTCCAAAATTGATAGAAGAAATTGAGGAAATATAAATTTCAAATTTTAAGTTTTTATAGTTTTGACTTAAAAATGTAGGTCAAAATAAGCAAATTGAGATAAACTTTTTGTTTGTTTTGAACATATTTTATTGACAATATGTCAAAGGGATTGGACACAAGTTCCAAAAACTTAGATAGTCCTCTCCCATAAACTTTTTAATCTCTCAAATATTTCTTGGGATTTAACAACTAATGGTTCAGAGTGAAATAATTATTTGTGATCTGGCCTGGTCGATAAGGCATTGGGTTCAGCTGGCGATTTTTACCGCATTTATCAGTTCCATTCCTAGTTGGGGATACTAGAAGCACCTAGCTAAGGAACTCTGACGTCACGGCACATATTCGTCATCAGTCTGTGCTGAAACGTTTTGAGGTAAGGATGTTTCCATTATGGGAGAAAATTATTCGTAAACTTATGTAAGTTTTTTAATAGTATATTTATAAACATTGACTGACTTATGCCTGGTAAAAGGTGATTTATTTATTTATTTATTCCTATCGATGAATAAGCGGTCAATTTCCGTCAGATTGTAAGACTCCTGTTCATGAATTTTTCTCATCCCAACAATGTGAGACAGCATGTAACACGTGATTTTTTCCATATCAAATTTTACAATCTCTCCTAGATTTATTTAAACTATACGGAATGAATAAGTTACCAATACCTGCCATATTTAAACACATTGAGCAAGGCAAGTGAAAGGGAAATGTATGGGGTATTGAACCTTTATAGGCATCTCCTCGTATACCACTGAATGAAATTTTGTACTTTCACGGAATCTTTGTTACATTGTGCCATTGAGCACTTTTTAACATTTTTTGATTGGGAATACTGTCATTCTTTCTTTAATATTGAGTAGTATCCATGCAACTCATCCTATACTACTGAATAAATTTTAGTGACACTATCAGAGATTCTTTAATCTATTACATAATGCCATTGTGCACCTCCTAATCTTTATTTTTTTAAATGAACACTCATTTCGAGTCTGTCTAAGCATAATACGGACTTGTAGTATTGTAACATTTTGTCAGCTCTGTGCTCACAGTTAAACTCTATTTAAATCTACACTGACTGACAAAGAAATTGAAAGAAAGTATTGGTATTTCGATTTTTGCTTATATACTGTGTAACTTGCTAAGGTAAATAATTAAATTCTTTTTTATTTAAGTTTGTTTTTTTCCTTTTCATTGAATTGAATTAATAAGCATATCTCTTCGCCTCCTTATCGAAATATAATGTTTTGCACAAAAAAATCTCGATTAATTTATTAGCTCTGTTAAGCCAAGGGCTCAAGTGAGCTTTTCTGATCAAAATTTGTCCGTTGTCTGTCGTTGTCGTCGTCGCCGTCGTCGTTGTTGTGAACTTTTCACATTTTCATCTTCTTCTCAAGAATCACAGAGCCTATTTCAACAAACCTTGGCACAAAGTATCCTGGGGTAAAGGGAATTCAAGTTTGTTCAAATGAAGGGTCACTCCCTCTTCCAAGAGGAGATAATTATGAAAAAGTAAAAAATCAATGGCATTTTTTAAAAATCTTCTTCTCGGGAACCAGAGGGCCAGGAAAGATGAAACTCATGTGGAAGCATCCTCAGGTAGATTCAGTTTTGTTCAAACCATGACACACACGGGTATGTTGGGGCCACAATAGGGGATCAAAGTTAAACATAGGAATTCATAGGAACAATCTTTTAAACACCATTATAACGAAGAGCAGTAATGGAGGATTTTGCTTTGTTGTAAGGCCTTAGTGGAATTTTATGAATCCATTCAGTCAATAATTGACTGTAAGTGTCAATTCATTAAATAAACACTAGTCTTATCAAGATGTTTTCTCAAGAACAACTGGGCCAAGAAAGATGAAACTCAAGCTGAAGCATCATCTGGTAGTATAGATTCAATTTTGTTCAAGAAGGATATGGAGATAACGAACAGTATTCAATTTCAAAGTCCATAAAACAATACAATACAAAATAGGTGCAGAGCAAACCATCAGAGGTGGGATCAGGTGCCATGGAGGAATGAGCATCCCCTGCTGACCGGTCACACCCGCCGTGTGCTCCTTGTTATGATCGGGAAATTATGGAAAAATCCTTTGTCAATTCAGTGCATAAATAATGGACTAAAAATAAGTGTGAAAAACGTCAGTCAGCATTTGTCTCAATGATGAATTGTATTTGCTGACAAGGCCATTGTATCGACCATAGATTTTACGAAATGATGACTTTAAACGAGACTGTTGATATTCTTGTTTCAACAACTTGCTTGTCAGTAATTTACCTCGTTTTAGAAATTGTTCATACGTAGAGCATGCTCTTGCGTATCGAATCAATTGAGATATATACACACCTTTTGCAGGTGATGAAGGTATATTGCTGCATAAGTAAGGGAAGTTGACGATAGAAAATTTTATGTGCTCTTAAATGCGGGCAATAATGAACAACTCAGTTCGTATGTACATGTACCTGAAGCACATTTGCAGCTCTGTTCTGCAGCCATTAAAATGATAAAGCGAGTGTTTGTGAATAGAGCATTTATTACATTACAAATGCCAAATAAAATGAAAAATTTTACAATTTCAGAATGCAGCAGAAGGTGGGGTGCAAAAAATATCCCACACCTTCAACACAAGAAAATCAGTAATCTGAACAATAATAAAAATGTGCATGGAGGTTTGAAGGGGGGTGGAGGAGGGTAAAATTTTCAAACCACGTTTTTTGGAGCCAAGCGGAATTATGAATATGGGTTAGGCTAATAGCCGTAAATAGAGGGCGCTTGGAAACTATAACCCGGAAAAACCCCTCAAGACCCAAACATTCATACACATTATTAGTAAATCAAAATACAAAAACTTTGAGCATTTAGATCCCATAAATTCCTTTATATACATAAATACACTAAAGTCATCACGTTTATCATATAGCTTGGTTGTTATATTACCATTAACGTCTTTTTCAAGTACAATATCCGGGTATGAAACAGATGTGTCAGACTCTGTGGTATTCTTTATCTTAAGCTCACCAGGATATATCGTATCGACGTAGGAATGGAAATGATCATTGTTAATTGACAATACGTCGTCGATATATCTATATGTCGAGTTGAAGGCCACAGCAAGTGTTTTCTTCTTTTCAAGCATAAGATTTTGCACAAAATCTGCTTCATATGAATATAGAAAGAGGTCTGCTAATAACGGAGCGCAATTTGTACCCATGGGAATTCCAATAGATTGTTGGAATACCAGGTCTCCAAAAACCACATAGATATTGTCCATCAGAAACTCAAGCATCTCTTTGATGTCAACTTCAGAGTACTTGTGTGTGCAATCGAAATGTGTTTTAACAAAAT